AGGAGAGAGAAAGGGGATCAACGCGATAACAATACGTAATAATAACGTAATATTTTATCGATGAATCTGTCTATTTGGCGCGAGACGTTGCGCTCGTCTTCCGCCGCTGCGATCGTTCCGTTATAAAAAGCGTAGATGCAGGTCGCAGTGTCGTCGTCGTCCCGTAAATAAATTTATCACAACGAGGTACACACGCAGAATGCGTGTGTCAAAAAAAACCTGGCCGATACAACGCGCGGTCGGAGCCGGGGTTATATCGAGCGGGGTGAAATTAAATCTGGATTCCTCGCTTAAAAGTAACTCCCCGCATGCCGGGGACGCGCGTTCAACCGGAAACGAATCTCGGTCTTCGTAACATTTCGAGGTCGCAACCACCACGACGAACGAACCGTCTGCCACAGAGGGTCTACCTCGGGGGTTCGACGACAGGCGAGATACGCGGCGAGAAGTTACGGGGCAATTTGATCCGGCGTTCCTGAAAATTTTCGCGTGAAAATTGACGACCTCGCGCCCGATGAAACGTTCAAACGGAAGTTCTCCGTTCGTTCGGCGGGATCCCGACACCGGGGAACCCGAGGTGAGGTGAAACTTGAGAACTCCCGCGAAAGCCGACGGACGGTTTCTTCGAGACTGACGTAACTTGTGAATGAACGTAGCGGAAGCTCTTAGATCCGCAGCGCGCCTCGGAGCCGAACGTTGTTACCTAAGACGACGATGTGGTCCGTGGTCGGGATGGAAATATCGTGTCCATCTAATAACATCCGCATCCCGATTCACCCGGTGATATCGGGGTCTTGTTTCAACGTCGACGAAAAAGTCGCGTTATCACGGATCACCTTCGACCCGAGGATGAGTGCAGTTGCAATAACTGTGATGCCGAAAAATATCAGAAAGGAGTCGAGGGTTCGCGTTGCTCGATCACTCATCGATCCTCCGTTGACGACACGACTCTCGACCGCAGCGGATATCGGGATTCTCGGATTCGTCCGAAGTAAACAGTTCGAGGGGAATAAACAGCTCTCTCACTCTCTCTCTCTCGCGTCGTTTTTTCTCCACACCGTCGCTCGAGGAGCCGTCGAGAGGAAGCTACGTCGTGGGACGGGATCGGAAATCGCGAGACCCTTCCTAAGACACGACGAAGAGACGAATCGCCTCCCGACGTGGCAAAGAAGAAGCGAGACATACGTAATACACACAGAGTCACTCACCTGTTCCCGAAGCGCTCCTTCCAGAATTCGGCCGCGTCGGCCTTGGTGATGCGAAACTGATCGCCGGCGAACACCCCGTTCGGGAATATGGCCTTCAGTTCGGACAGCATGTGGCTGAAGACGAGGCTGAGCTTGGTGAGATTGCGACGATAATGGGAGGTCTCGTCGAACATCTTGTCCTTCCCCTCCTTGAACAGCTTGATCGCCTGCTTGCACTTACGCATCAGGTTGTTGATGAACACGCAGAAGTGCTCGTTGCTGTGCAGCACCTGCATCCGGTCCTCGTACTTGCTGTAGATCAGCCTTAGCCGCTGATACGTGTCGGGCAGGATGTCGAGGATGAACGGCGGCGAGTTCTTCAGGTTCATCCGCTGATGCTGGCACAGCTTCACCACCTTGTCCATCAGTTTCCAGGTCTTGTCCAGCATACGCTTGTCGGTCGACAGTTTCGGCGGGGTCATCGCGTCGGCGAAACGGCCGTGCAGCTTTTGAAAGATCGAGCCGATGTGGGCGGCGCGGGTGCGACTGCTGTGTCCCGACGACGACATCTTGACGTGCGTGCTCGCTCGCTCGCTCGCTCGCGTGCGTACGTATGTAATATACGCGATCGCTTCCCTCGTCTTGTTTTTTCTGCGTGTGGACACACTCTCTCTCTTCCTCTCTTCCTTTCTTTCTCCCTCTCTCTCTCTCTCTTGATTTGCACCTCACCTTACCTGGGACGCGCGCAAAGAACACTGCTCGCTATACTTAAGGTTAACCCGCACACACACTCGGGCGATGGATCGGCACACCGCGCATAATCTCAGCGGGACGCGGCCACGACAGCGTATCCGCGAAGCCGCGGACACGGGGTGTAGCACCGGAACCGCGCGCGATACCGCATCCTATTATCTCAGTGGGCGACGGCCGAGCGAACGGCCCAGCCGGATGACTCGCGGCGAATATCGACGATACTGACGCGTGCGAGTGATTACCGAGCGTGCCGCCGTGGTGGCCGCTCGCTCGCTCTGCCTCCGGTTCGACTCGCCGCCGCACCTCGCAGCGCGCACGCGCGCCGGAAGGCGCGCGCGTGCGCGGCTGGCGCACGATTCGAACGCGGGACTCGGGGAAATCGTGAGCGTTCCGCTCTCACTCCTGTCTCGCTCGTTTCTTTCGCTTTGCGGAGATCGTTCGGTTGAAGTTGATGGTTTAATCAGTCATCGATCACGAAGTGCAATTACGGGGGTCGTAAGAGGAATGCGAATATTCAGGTAGAAAGTCGTGAATGGGTAATCTTTTTTTCCGCCTTGTGTTAACTCGACCAATAGGAATGCGCGGTCGGAGACTAATCGGCGCGGTCGCCGTTTACATGTAATTAATATGTACATGGGCAGTTGTGACCGGGTAAAGGGTATTCTGAATTGTAACGAGGTGGGTTCGTGTCGCGTGAAGTCACAAGGTAAAACAGAAAGTATTTATTTTATGTCTCATGAGATATATATATATGTGTATGTATGTATGTACGTGTGTGTGAACTGAAATTGTACATGCGACTTTTATAATAAATAATGACTAAAATATGAGACTACATTTACGCGACGAGGAACGTTCAAAATATTGAACTTGTGTATATTTTAACAACCATCATTTCGAAAACGTAAAATTATCCGGATAAACGCGTATACAATACAACGTTTTCAACAGCTGAATCACTAATTTGTAAATTCAATAGCCAATGGTATACGATTACATTTCGTCCTCCATTACTGAACATAATTTGATTTGATAAAATGCGCCAAAATATGTAAAACACACTTAAGCTGAAGAGATTTGTCTTAATCTCTGGATATTTCGTAATACTTGTTACTTATCAAGCTCTCGTCTCGTTGCATGTGAGCAGGCTTAATGAAATGTTTCGCTAAATTTTCTTAAGTATTCAAGGGCTACCCTTGCCGTCTCTAGTAACCTGCGTTCCGGTAATGTGAATTCGCTGTCACCGGTTTTCCATGTAATGACTTAACCGTAATAAGATGAAACTCGACATTATAAACCAACTGGCAGGAATGGACGCCAGCATGCAGTATCGTTCATCTGAAACATCAAGCAGACGATAAAAACGTATGTATTACGTATAAGACTGCATTGAAGGTTATAAGGTAAAACTAGGGAAAGATAAAAGTGATACCGCTGATACGTAATATGTACACTTAGCACATATAATCATTCGGGTATATATAAAATATTAACTCCGTAGATTTATGAAAAAATAATGTTAAATTTACAATTGTTGAATATCCGACTTCTCTGATATCGCAGAATAATATGATTCTCGACCCAACAGATCGATATAATTAACATACGGGAAACATATATGTAGGTACTCAGACAACATAATATTTGCAAGACGTCTTATGTCCTGATTTTTACGATATGTTGTCTGGATATCTCTGGATTTCCATAAAACTATGAAGCACAGATACATAAACGACAGACTCAAAATATTTGTTTAAACTTAATTATACGAATAGTACGTATACATACATGTAAAGACGAACACATGCGCACTTGATAGAACGTTGTAAAAACGTTGAACACTCCGGAACACATTAAGATATAGATGAAGGAAAAAATATAAATCAGTTTTTATTTACAAGGTAGGAAGATGCGCGTGTTCAAAATCGGATAGACATAGAAACATAGAAACAATAACAGGAAGTAAACCAAAGAACTAAAGAAAGACAGAACACCAGTACTAGTAAGCATTCACAGAATACATAACAAACACGTGAAAATTGTTAACAGCAAAAAAGGAAAGTTACCTAGAGCATAACTCTTTTTTTTTTATTCACTTATTTTCCAGAAATTTGCCTCTGGTAAATTCTACGTCTACTTTCCACATGCACACACACACGCATACATATAAATTATAAATATACAACTTGTTTTTTATTTACAAATACACAAGCGAACGTATTTACATAGCGGGACGTCAGATATTTCGGGCTTCAATTGGTTGACGGTTTTAAATTTACCTGTCATTTGGTCGGACATCTTCACCGCCGCCCAACCGAGGCTTCTCTCCACTGCCATTTTCCATTTCTTATACCTCGCGTCTCTCTCTACAGGATACGAGAACAGTGATACGTAAAAAGTTCATTGCTTAAATTTACAGGAATTTTAAATGTCAAGAGATTCAAGCCGTTTTTTGTTTATCGAACGTTAATTGCCAATGAGAGACGCGACGTGATCGATTTGAACTATGTGGAGCTGTTTGCACGTAGTGACGCGAGTGTGCTGCAAATTACATTGACTTCGGAGACTCATGTCACTTCCCAAACGAATGATTCGTTTATACCTTCCGGCGTGGTAGTCGGGAGGAAAGTATCAGTTGGCACTGTTTCTACGTCCTCGCCTTCCAGCTCCCAAACGTCTATTCCTTCGGCGTGTCCGGCGGCCATCGCCACACCCAACGCCGTGATGTCGGGCATAGTTGACCTAACTGCGCGTGTGAACAGAAGTTTGCGATTAACCATTTCTAGAAGCACGACAAAAATTGACAAGAAATATCGCCGTTATCGGATGCTTCATCTTCTCTTCTATCTCATGTGAGATGCGAGATTGTCACGTCCGGTATTACTCACATACTGGTGCGCCGCATAGGTCGGCTTGCAATTGCATAAGGAGATTGTTGGTTGACATTTTTCCGTCCGTGTTTAACTTCGTCAGGGGAAATCCGCAATCTTTGTACATAGCTTCGAGGATGTCCCTGGTTTGAAAGCAAACCGCTTCTAGGGACGCCCTAATAATGTGTTGCTTCGTAGTGAATGCGGTGAGTCCACAAATTATCCTGAAAAGAAAGGATACGTCGAATATCCCGCAAACATTTATCTATCCATCAAATATCCACACACATACACACACACAAACATCGTTAACCTATTAGATTCTTCCATCAAACGAAACGTTTTCAATGGGTAAACTAAACGTTGTAGTTTCTCACAATAAGGAAGGTACATGTTTAGTTATTCAGACTCCATTGAGTAATAATTATTCTATTACAAAAGTAAACTGACCCCCTCGCATCCTTCCTCCAGTAAGGTGCATATAATCCCGTGAAGGCTGGCACAAAGTAAACGTCGCCGGTACTGAAAACACTTTGCGCCAGATGTTCACTTTCGTGAACGTCTTTTATGAGCTTCATATTGTCCCGTAACCACTTGATGGCGGCACCCGCAACCGCGACCGAACCTTCCAAAGCGTAAACAGCTGGGTTATTCGGACCCAATTGATACGCGACGGTCGTGACTAATCCATGAGAAGAGTATACCCTCTGAAAGAAAGTGTTAATCAGGCATTACCGAGAAAAAAAGGATATGATCTCTTTTTAGATGACGACCTCAGATATTTCTTGAATAATGCATTTTGAAGAAAAAGGTTTCAGACGAAGGTTGTAGGGTTTAAAGGGGGACCTAAAAAAGTGTCTTCGACTTTATTGTATAGTCAATAATCGAAGGTCGTTTCAAAGTGAACTTTATTTTCTTGAATAGAATTATAGGTTTTTTTTTTAGCAGAATTCGATTTTTTTGTTTATTGTACGTATAAAAGTGCAATAAAGTGATCGAAAAGTAAATACTTTTCTATTTTTCAGTATAAGATATTAAATATCTCATAAAATATTCACTTTTCGATGACATCACTTTAATATTTTGGTACATAGAATGACCGGTGGAATTAATCGCTGTAAGAAAACTTAGAGAAACCTTAAATGAATTTATTCCATTTTGTAAACACATCGATGCACCAATGATTAATATCAGTAATAGATTTCTCTCACATTATTATGTAAAAAAGTATGATGTTATCGAAAATGGTAAGGCGGTGTCACCGAAAAGTGAATATTTTATGAGATATTTCCAATATTTTTTAAAATGGAAAATATAAAAAGAAAAAGTAAAATATTCCGAAAGGTATTAACTTTTCAATGATCTTACCTTAGTACTTTTATACGCAGAATGAATAGAAGGATCGATTTGTGTTAAAAAAACTATACGCTCCCATTAAACAAAAAAATAACGTTAACGTTAAAATGACCTTGAAAAAAAAACGGCAGTTCAAGGTCATTTTTCGCTAATCTTATCTTAGGATCTTTATACTATACTGTGCAATAAACAAAGGATTCGAAAAATGANTTATATGATTCTATTTAAAAAATAAAATTGACCTTGAAATGACATCGAATTATTGACTATACAACGAAGACACTTTTTTATGTCCCCCTCAAAATCCTACAACTTTCGTCTGGAATATTTTTCTTTAAAATACATTGTTCAAGAGATATTTGAGGTCGCCATTTAAAATGGGACATTCTGATAAGAATAATATGTAGGATATTTTATATGACATACTGTACTTAAGGATTATATTTATGATATAAATTGGAATACATAAAATATTCTATATACATGGATCCAATTTGAAACAGTTACTCTACAATGGTTTAAATTTTATAATTGACAACACACATTTTTGGAATATTTTTTCATTAATAATGAAAAATAAAAAAGAAAACAAAGATTATATGAATTGTTTGAAATGATGCTCTTCAATAATACACGATGCAATCTAAAATAGATTGAGTAGCCGCACAAAGATGATAATTGTTTCTTATTTGTTCACACGCATCATTAATACGCAGTATTAATTCAGCTCGAGTATTCACTTTTCTTTTCGTATACTAAACTTCTGATCTTTCGTTTTTGTTTCATTTTCTACTTTTATTGAAAAAATATTCAAAAAATGGTATATAATCCTTTATAAACTTTAAATTTTCAATACTTGGAGATAGATAGTTGTTTCGAATTGAATCCACGTTCATACATTTTTTATTTCAATTTATATGGGAAATATGCTCTTTCAGTTTGTCAGTACGTCATGTGTGTGTATGTGTGCGCGTGTGTATATATGTGTGTAATATCCTGTATATAACAATAGTACTTACAGTATGCCCGGTATTACAAAGTAAGAAGCAACCACTCCTGTACGTATTTTTCGCTTGTCCTTTCTTTAAGCAATTCTGCCCGACTAAGGCCGATTGTTGATTTCCTAGAATCTAGCGGAAGAGAAAAAGGCGCGATAGAAGACGAGCGATTTCATTTTTCTCCTCTTTGTATCATTCGCCGTCGAAAATAACATCGAACTTTTTACGTACACCGGATATAGGAATGCCAGTCAACGGACCGTTCGAGATCTTGCCGTATATCTCCGAGCTGCTTCTGATCTCCGGCAGTATCTGCATAGGAATGTCGAAATATCTGCATAACGTGGGATCCCAAGAGAGAGTTTCTATATTCATTAACATCGTCCTCGACGCGTTCGTTACGTCGGTGATATACAGTCCACCGTCCTTGCCACCCGTTAAATTCTGCAAAAAGTTATCAGTTTAGAATCCCGAGTCGTTTTGCATCGCAATACGCAAGCCGGCCTCTCTTCTCGTCGTATCGAAGGATAAAGCGGGATATATGCGTGCTGATTCCGCAACTCGGTTATTAACTCGATAAGTATCAACCGGTAATTCCCGCAACGATGATACACACGTCAGATTATTTATTCGTATGATACTCTTACTCGGATCATCACAACGAGTGCGTCTCAACGACGTGAAAAGGAGCTAATCGGATAATCAGCAGCTGTCATTTAAGCGGCACCAGTTAACGCGCTAATTAAGCAAGAACCTACTCAAGCGAAATTTAATTCCTATTGATAAACCGAGGTTGCGGCAGCACGGAGAGAGCCGGCGAGAGATTTAGTCCTCAGAGTGTACGCCTCTCTGTGAGGCCTTCCTGTCGCTCACCCAAACGATCCATGTATCCACCGTCCCCACTTTACATCGCTTCTCGCGCATCGCCTTCCTCACCGCCGGCACGTGTTCCTTCAGCCAACGAATCTTCAAAGCTGAGAAGTACGGGCTCACGGGCAGACCGCAGAGAGGTTTCAGGTGATTCTTGCTCTTGTCCGGGAATTTCGCGATAATCTGGTCCACGATCGAGTCGGTTCTGATGTCGGACCACACTGCGAAATCAATCGTAATTCAGGATTTCTGTTCCCGTGCACGCCCGAATACACGAAGCGTAATGACTGCAATTCCACATCATTCTCAAGCATATTCCGATCACGTAACTGTTAACGACAGTGTCGTTGCGCAACGCAAATACGTAACAATATTGGCAAGTCGTTAGAAGTTATAGAATCGGCCCGTGGGATATTAAAAAAAATGTTCCCTCCGAAAAAAATTAGAAAAAAAAACAACACGGGTCGGTTTCTAGTCGAGATAAAATTCAGTTCTCAAATTCTCAAATTCTCAAATTCAATTTCTCCGACGAGTGGATGCACGCCCATTGAAACGGGGAGCCTCGACTCACCTATGGCGTTGTAGAGCGGATCGCCCGTATTCGCGTCCCATGCTATCGTGGTCTCCCTCTGATTCGTAATACCCACTGTAACAATCTCGTCGATCTTCATCCCGAGCACATCGAATTTGCGAATCACTTCCTTGACGCAGGCTTTCACTGCGAAAAGGATCTCCTTGGGATCCTGCTCCATCCATCCCTCCTGCGGACTGATCTGCTCAATGTCGATCTGATGCGACGCGATCTCCGCGACGTGCTTCGCATTGAACACCTGCAAACGCAATTCTCAATTTGAAGCAACAACGGCAACCGTTAACGATTGGTTGCGGGAGAGTGGCTTTAATAATTCTCCCTTCGCTCGTTTACACATTTCGCAAATACGAATTTTAATTTATTTTCAATCCTATTTCACTTCATTTCGCGACTTATAATAGCTTGAAAGCCCGAAAATAATACGCACGTGTCCGGAGATAATTACGCGTCACTTCGAATTTTAATTAAAATTAATAACAATTAATGAATTAACACAGTCGTATTTTCAAGCCGCTTTAGTAGCCGGAGGCTTCGGAAATCCGTGCCTTGCAGAAATACGGCGTGCTCACCGTTATTTGTTACTCTCGATTGTAGTCACGGTTCTCGCAATCTGTGTTTATTGCCACGTATAAACGTGAATTAGAACGCAGCCGACGCTTTAGCAGCGAATAGTTACATGCATAATTAACACCGTCTTTCCGTTCTCGATTGTTTTATCGCGCTGATAATCGCGAAATTACGGCAAACATGCCGACGAATTTCGACAAATATTTCGAAACGTGGAAAATTATGATAGCGATAACGCGATAACGCGATAACGATATCCGGACAACCGTCTCGCGATAATCTCACCACAAAGCGAACGGTCCGCGTGCCAACGTCGATGACGCCAACCGAGGGCCCCGTTTTCTTCACCGGGTTCGACATTGTATCTGAAAAGGAAAACACATATCGTGGTTATTTAATATCCAGCCTGGTGGGAGGCGTGCGAAAGTTTGATGATTTTGCGCACACCTGACAAAACAACTATGTCTGAGTCTTAAGAAGAGACTTGGCGTACCGAATGAACAGCGAGGAAGAAGGAGAAAGACAAAGAAATGTACATTGTATGTGATTATACTGAGAAAAAAACTGAAACATAAAAAAATATTTATCCGGTGAGTACTGTTATTTTAACATAACTTAAATCCAAGTTCTTTTATTTAAATAGAATAAACAATTGCTTCCATAAATGGTCGCGGATTTGAGAAAATCTATATTTTCTTTCATTCGGAATGAAGTTTTTCTCAGTGTAAAAATATATGTTAATATATAATATATGTTAATACAAATAAATATGTTATCAGTGTCCGTCGAATAAATATTTTTATTCTTAGATTTTTTCTCTCAATATATATATTGCAGAATAGATAGAGAAATAATACAAAATAATTTAAGAGGATAGAGAGACGCGTGTTATACACATTTGATCCGAGAGTTTGATTTCGTGTTCGGAGCTCAATTCGGCGCGTCCTATTCAGTCGAAGTCACAAACATACTTTTCTCGCCAAGTTCGTGCGGACCCTCGAAGCAAAGTTTAACGTTTCAGTTCCATCTGCGAGCAAGAAGAGGGGAGGGGGGGGGGAGAGAGACATAAAGTCTCCCTGGCTGGACTCGCGTTCTTCCCGCGTATCACACGTGCGCCGCACTCATCCCTGCGTACATTGTTTTCACGATCTCTCGTCAAATTCGGCAAACTTTTCGACCGCACGCGCGGGAAGAGACGCGTCACGAGCCGCAATCACCAGTGCCAGCTTTCTCAAAACGGTTTACGTCGAACATGCCAAGAACCCCATTCGTTCCACGGGAAGGCTCACCATCCCCCTCCTTCGTCTTTTTTTATTCCCCCTCTTTTTCTCAACGTCGCAGCGCTATATCGCATTCAATCGAAATAATCGAATAAACTCGCGATAACGCAACACATGCGTAGCATACACGTCACATTATCGCCAAATTAATTTTTTTCTCACCGTCTGTCGTAAAATGGTCTGAACACTTTTTTCTCCAATACAGTTGTTCGGAACACGACCGATGGCCCGATGAGGGAACTTATCTTCCGTCGGAATTGATCGAAAAACAAGTTTCCTCATCGGGCCGTCGTCATCAGCCACGTTCCGAATTTCATAGAAGGAAAAAAGGACAAAAGTGTTCGGACAATTTTGAAATCCAGTGTATCGTTGCCCCTTGATATTTCGCCACTGATGATTTCATATCATGCATATGTGACGCTGATCCCGAGTCTGAGATTTTGCGACGCCTTTGCGCAAGCGTCTAAATTCACGTGGCCGCCTTGAATTTTCGACCCACGGTAAGTAGCCGCGATGAAATAAAGGAAACAAGGTATACATACAGTCAGTCACGAAAAGCTTGCAACACATTTTCTTTTTATAAGTTTCTAAACGCATCTCGTGTCCAATGAGAGAAATTGTTTCTCAGTAATTCTCAGGAGGTAGATCTCCCTATTGGATATACGAGATGCGCATCGAACAAAAAGGGAAAACCTTCTTGCAACTGATCGCATAATTTTAAGGCAGATGAGTGAACCGTTTTCTTAGGAACCTTTTTAAATTTTAGCCGCATATTGACGGAAATGTGATTTATACGTATGTAAAATTAGAAAATGATTGATGGAAGCTGAGATATTCGCAACTAAACTTGAGACATTTTTCGTACGTATTCCTTGAAATTAGCGTCCTTTTTTTTTTACTTCTACTTTTAATTTCTTTTAAACCGTATTTAGAATTTTAAAGAAAAACTATTACTAATATTACGGATTAATATAAAGATATTATATAAAAATTTCGGAATTATTGGCCATTTTGTTTTGAAAATAAAGCCATGGGAAATTTACAATTTAAAATAATACCTGCGATGTACACATATTATATACATATATTTAAATATTTATATACCACTTTCTATTATATGTGCACTTCTATTAGCTGGCTCTATCAGCTCAACTGACGTATAAATAAAGCATTAATAAGAAGAATAAAAAATAAATAATATCTCTGTGTTTATAATATTGTATATATATATATATATTTCTTTTAATTTTGCACTCAATTAATATTTATTTAGATAGTTAAATAAAGTTGTGAGAAAATATTTTTTTCTCCAATAAATATTAAACTTATGTAGGAGCTTCTTAATATCTTCACTGAAAATGCCGCACCCTATGGATCAATCGCCTTCATTTCGAAGATTAAAAAAGATTGGGAGATATCTAGCGATGAGAGAAATAAACATCGAATCGACATCAAATTAACGTTAAATTGATGTCGAAACAATCGAAATTATATCGAATTGACGTCGATTTCGACGACGATGATTCGATGAGCCATTTCTCGCTTTTCCTTGGACAGAATTTACGAAAATACATTGTCTTCGCACGCTGTTCGACACGATCGTGCTTCTCTCTCTTTCTCTCTCTCTCTCTCTCTCTCAATCATATCGACAAAGATCGTCAACAGGGATTACCTTCTTGGCCACGATTAAACGGATAACGCGATATCTCGCGTCTATCGGGAAATATTCGAACGAAAAACTTTCCTCCTCCTTATCGTCGCTTATCGTCGCTTACGTAACATTTTCGCGGAAGTGGAGTTTCCGCTACTTTTTCGATGAAACGGAGGAACGATCTCCGCTTGCGACGTAGAATGTCACCAAGCGTGATATTAAGCGGCGAAAGCCGGTACATTATGCAACAAAATCGTTGCGCGCGTTAATCTCTGGCTGCCGATAAAATGACTTTTGGAATGAATCTTTTTACGGACGCGTCGTTGGAAAATCCTGAATATCCCGAATTGACGATGACACAAGCCGGATAAGATGGGACATCGCGATAACGTCCAAATGACTTTATAGTGACGAGAAAATGATCGAATCGTGGATCGGGAAGCGAATTTCCACAGTCATTCTCTCGTCATTTGGACGTTCTTTTCGTGATTCTCTATTCCGTCCGGGTTCCAGGGTAGAACAGGAAATCGTGACAACGGTCCAGACGATCTTACAACGGGGGATGCGATCGGAATCGTGATCGTAGAGCGAGTTTTCATAGTCGCCACTTCGCCGTTTGAACGGCGTCATCGTGTGATTTCCTATCCTATCTGAGACCCAGGCAAAACAGGAAATTACGATAACGACTTCGTAACGACGAGAAAACGATCGAATTGCGATCGTAGGACAAGTTTTCATCGTCACTTTGTGTAGGATAGAAAAATTCACTCTCACATCATCGTGATTTTCTGTTTTTACACGAAGAAAACAAGATTAGCCGAATTGATGTGACAATTAAGCCGTTTTGACCGAAGGAAACGAGAATTCTGGTCCCAAGAATAGAATTTAGTTCGTAGGAACTAAAGATTCCGTTTATCCTTGAAACGAAAACACGCTCTGTTCATTGATCGTCACATTTATCCAACTGATCTTACTTCTCTGTGTATCCGGCAAAGATTACATTTCGAAAAGAGAGAGAGAGAAAGCTCTTCTGTTCGCCATCTCTCTCCCGGTAACGCGATTCCCCGAGTGTCTCCTCGAGTTGCGGATCCAAAAACGATTTCTGGGAACGAACTCTCCTTCAACTCGCGTGCTATGCGTTACATATGCATAATCGGTTCGACATCGTCGTCGGGCGAGTCGCTTGCCAACTATGAACGATGTCGAGTGCGATACACGCGCGCGTTTGCCGCCTGTCATGCGCAATACCGCTCGACCTGACTTTCACGACGAACGCTCAGACGCGTAATATTAATAATTCTTATCCGTCTCTTCCCGACGGGAGAACATTGTACGCGCTCGTCTCCGTGATCGCCTTTCTTCGTCCGTTTCTTACAGGAACACATTTTCGCGTCTTCACGCATCTTACTTAACGCTCTCGCGCCGCGTTGATTTCAGCCTCGCGGCCGGCACTGAAGTTTCGGCCTGAAGAAAAATCACCCCCGCACGACTTACCCGGCCGATCCGATTTTCGCGAATGCGATGCAATTACTTCCGTTACTCGAGACCGACGAGGCGTTTTTTTTTCCTTTTTTTTCCCCCCCATACACGGAACCACCTGTCACGTTCGAACGTTCCACGCGTGTATGTCCGATTCAGCGCGAATCGCATCCGAGAGAGCAGACTGCCTCCTTCTCTCTCACCTGCATTCTTGTAGGAGTAATACTTGAAAATACTGGTTCTCCGACCGGTCTCCGACTGCTCCATCTCTAACGGCACCCTCGGGCTTTCCAGGGAGCCTTCCGGCGCGCCCCGCTCGCTCGTGGCCGCCCTGGCAGCTTCGTTCCTCACGTCCTCCGTCGCATTTCCATTCGGATCCTCGCGCTCCATGAGTCAACGGTGCGCCGTGTTCGGTCCCGATTACCGCGCGCGGACACGCGGGGTTTACGGGTCTCGCGGCTCTTCGCTCTCCTCCGGTGCGCGCGAGCGAGTGAGAATTCCGCTTCTTCGCCGGTGACACGCGTCGTTCGAAAATCCTGAGGAAACAACGAGATTACCACTGAGAACTGCCGCGCTAATCGAACATTTAACATAAGCGCGCCACGCACGCTCGTTCGACGGAATGCGAGAACCTCCGGCCGACCTGTCCGGTCTCGCCGTCGCCGCCGCCACTCCCCGCGCTCCGCCGCTTTTTTCCGCGTACTTACTATTGCGTACTCGCGACCGATCTCTCGTATCGTGCTCGCACTGCCTGAGAGCCCAAATTAGCCGTATATAACCGTACGATGCCGACGGTGTTCGCCGGTGTCTAGATCAAATTATCTAATCATCCAGATGAATAAATAGATCACCTTTGTAATAAATAGATCATTCTTTATCTAGATGGGAGAAATGCAAAATATATGCATCTTCATCTTAGATAAGGGAACCTGTTATCTTATCTAAAAATGATCTGAAATCATGTGGCCCAGATTTTGAACTCACTTTTTGATCAAATGAATGAAATAATATGGACCTATGCGTTAAGCCCGTATCAGACCCGGGATTAGAAATTAGATTTCAACGAATCGACAAATTTCGGCTTTGTTTCCTTCGGTCTATTCTTTTTAGTTGCGCCGCTGAACTGGTACGATTAAAAAGGACAGACTTGTTTCAAATCGATCGATCCGCTTTAAGTCTGTATCAAATTGTCGACTGTGAGTGAACAGTCAATGATTATTGGTCTCTTTTGTTAGATCCTTAAATTTAGAGCGATTACGTTAACGAATTACTTCACCGTTGTGCAATTTTATGATCTGCGTAATTTTTATTATAAATTTTTATAGTCTTTTGTGAAAACAATATCGTCTAAAAAGTTATCTAGATAAGTTGCGCTATTTATTTTATCTTTCATCTACATTAATCAAAAGCAAAATCATCTCCATCTCATCTAAGATGCATTTTTCGGATGGCGAATTTGAAATCATCTAAGGTAAACACTGGATATCGACGACCTTTCTCATCCTACTGAACTTGTAGTCGCGCCCGATCGCGATTCGTTCACGTTTTATTCAAATACACGTCGCGTCGTCTGCTCGTGACTCAGGAAAAATCGCTCGTCGATAGAACAGTTTTACTCATGAGAATACAATGCCGTGAAAGTGAACAATATTGTCGTACCTGCTCGACGACGAAAAGGTCGCGACATTTATTCCCCGACAAGTTTCTCGCATTCGTGTCCAATGAGAGCGCGTTTTTCTCCCGAGAATTCCCGGATTATAGGCTTTATACCGAGTACATTTTTGAAGTTTGCCGAAGTGTCCGTAATCATTCTCCCATCTACTGTACTTCGCGAAACTCGAAGTATAAAGCATACGAAGTGTTAGTAATAAACAAACAAAGACCTTCGACACGGTGCAATACGTAACGTGATTAGCGTATTCTCGATAAAAACATTCTATTATATGTTGATCTGGCGTATTTCGCATATTTTGAATACGCTAAGTTCGAATACGCTAAGTTGTCACCGCTTAAGACGATCCGGCGTGTATTATAAAACTCATTATTCTTGAAAGCGACCTTTGTCAGTTTCAGATCTGTTGAAATTTGGACTTTGAGATCGAATACGTGTAGGTACGTGTATCATGATATACTAACGTCACACGCGAATACTAGTAAAGCTCATCGACAGTGATTATTCATGACTAATACATATCGGGTGTTCGACGATAAGCGTATTTGGACTATACATCCTGTCGGAAACTGAAATTCTATCTTTCTACGACGGATGTGTTGAAATTGGTTGCGCCCAGCGAAACATTCATTTTCCAACTGTTGAAAGTTTTCTGTGCTGAGATTGGATTATTCCTTTAGATCTGAAAGAACAATCCAATCTTAGCTAAGAAAACTTCCAACAGTTACAAAATAAACCCTCGGTTAATGAACGTGACTATTGTATTTGTCAATTCTACGTTCTTCCAGTTCAAAGTGTAGTTTTGTTAGTAAAGAAATTACCGTAAAAAGTAATGACGGTAAGAAAATTTTGTAAATATATTAAATGATGTATATAATTTAAAAATACTATACTATATATATAATTTAAAAGTATTATACCATGCTGAATAAGAAAATGCATTCTAGTTCTTTCCATTGGTTTAAATTTAAAAACAGTTATTTAATATGCGCGCGTACATATATGAAATTGCTAGCAGTACAATTTCTACAAGCCTATCTCCGTGTAAAACTCGAAGAAACGCCGATGCATTTTAAATTGTACAGTTAGAGTCAAGTTTTTATAGAAAAGAAAGTACAATTTTATTCCGGTTTTCGCTAAGAATAATATCATCTGTGATTCTTGAAATGGATTTATTACTAAGTAAATTGCACTTTGTTCCCTCGCGTCACGATCGTTTTATAAATGATGCATCACTCAATGGAGAACAAAAAATACAACCGTCCGTTGAATAAATATTTACATCAAACTTCTCGTGTCGCCTGTCCATCAATCTATCGTGACTTCGAGAGATCTGTCGTTCTTTACATTAAAATAACATTTAATAAAATTGCGGACAATTGTATATTTTTCGAGAAAATTCAGACTAGTTGAGACAGAGATTGAAGATGTGAATATCAAAATTTACATATATATAAATAATAAAAAATAATTAAAGAGAAAACGATAAAAAAAAAGATTATTAAAAGATCACCAAAGTTAATTAAATCATGAAAAGGAAGATCCCGCTGATTTCGGCAAAAAGATAGTCGTCGTCACTTCCACAGTAGATTTCAGCAAGGACAAGTTCGATTCGATACACGCGGTTTTAGCGGTACGTGAGTACTAGACATGATGTGGTCTGTAAATAGGCCGCATGATGCGTAGGTTTTTTCCCGGGAAGCATCGGACTACCCGATAGTACCTGCTGCGATTCCTCCTTATATACTAACTGCTCAATACCCAGGTACCATCGAGAAACCTCGAAGTTACACACCCCTGTCGTTCGCTCAGTTTCGACCTCCCGGTGATCGCTCAGACGCGACATGAGATCCCTTACCGCAGCTATCTCACGCATCAGCCGAAATCCGAGCGGGATGTTTTTTTCACACAACATTCGTCAAATTGTTACCCGTCAGATCGCTGCGAGGTAGAGGACGGTGGCCGCCTAGCGGCCGGGAGGCCGAACTAAGGCCGCGCTAGCTGCGCCGGTCGGCCGCCACGTGCTACGCGGAAGTGTAGCGGTCGTTATGTCACTGTCGCGGTGGGAAGACGCGAAGTCGCGCGCACGCAGATTCGCTGTGAACCGTCGAGGGCGGGGGGTGTCCGAGCGACGCGAGATTCGCGGGGATGTACGGCCAGGAACGATCGGTACTTCCGAGTGACGGTCGGCGAGAAACGACGGACGGCCCTCGGTCACGACGGTCGATATTCGTGCGCTCACTCACCGGAGGTCGACGGTGCTCACCGGACACGACGAGCGGAAGCCGGGGTAACGACGTTCTCAACGAGGACGCGAACGATCGAGCGCGACGCGTGTCCGCTCGCCATGCTTTCACCGCCCGGAGTCGCGCGCGTGGACCGACGGCTCGCTGCCCGTCGTCTGCTGCGTGATGTTGCGCGCGCAATTGTCCGCATGTAACGATATAGGTTACTGTTGCATCCGCTCTCGCGTGGATCTACGTGTTGGCACTCCGTTTACTTCCTTCCGTTTAGTTCCCTCTCGACATCTGAACGAGGACGTGCTCTCGACGTTGCCTTCGAGACGGCCAGGCTTTAGTTTAGCGTATACGAAACACTTGGCTGCTTTGTGGTCTCACGGATGTGTACGATGTACTTTATCGTAGGATTTAATGCATTTCTATGAGACATCGGGATTATCGTAAGGTTGTGTCGAAGGTCTGCCACGACCGAACACACGCGCGAAGCGAGGACGCACGGACTGAGGCCCGCCGTGTGTTTTATTGTACGCCGAATGCCCAGAAGCAGTCGGTAACGTCATCGTTCTTCAATTACCCTTCAGCCCCCTTTTCACGTATTGGATACGTTCGGAGAGACGCTGTATTTAGCGCTACCGTGTCATTCTAGCCTTGTTCTACGTGTCAAGAGTAATAAAGATAGAATGACGTAGCGTTAAATAGCGTGGATCGACACTAAGAATTTAAGCTCTAAGCCTTAAAAAATTGACCAATCACAGTCGACTATTCTCTTCGTATTCGATCGTGATTGGTGAATCTGTCAGAGTTTAGAGCTTAAAGTACCCATTGTAGACCGGAACTTACGGGTCTATTTTCTGCTCAACATTTTTCCTTTTTTCCCACTAAATCTCAAAAAAGAGATAAAAAGAGAACTGATACAAATCAGTGTAGGAACAGAAAAAATAGACTATATCAATGACTTGTTCAGAATCGATTCGGATCGGGGCGATTGATTATGTAATTTCACTTCGCACTTTCGAATCTTGTGCGAGTCGCTGACGAGCGTAGTTGTGTTTGTTAGGTGGTCTGCGCACGTGTCACGGATCCTTGGTTCGATTGAACCCACTTATTTTTGACAAAGTTGTTGTTGCCTTGACAGAACGCAAATTTAGAACCCTATCTTTTTCCGTATATTCGTTATTCCCGCTAATTCCTGGAACCATTATTGAGAGACACACGCTTTTATATTTTCTATATGTACATCGGGAGGGTCCCGTTAGCGTGATAGCGCACATCGGCCGGTGCCTTTCCGCTGGACCGCCAATTAGAAAATTTTATATTAAATTAGCCAATCACCTATGTGGGCTATCGGAGTCCTCCCTGCTCAACTGGTGCAGTGAAAAAGAACAGACCATATATAATATGTAAATTTTTTGAACCAGTGCAGCCATTATTGAGAAAGAAACGTGCCACAAATCTCTATTATGTCTGTGCTGAGGTAGCTAAACTAAATAATTACCATCCCGCTACGGGGCGCCATTTTCGAATGAAAAATCGAAGTAGTAGTAAGTCAACTCAGCAGCGAGTCAAACGATGTGTAAGTTAAGTGAAAATTTGCTATCTTTTTCAAAAACCGGCCACGTTCTAAGATATGTAAATTAAAAGGGAGAGTTCATACATTCAAATAATGTAAGCGTCATTCATGTGTGATATTTTGTACACATGCTGCACAACTTCACAAATTTCGTCACAAATTTTGGTCTCTGACGGATCTCGATTTACAATTATATAACAACGTAGGAAATAAACTTCATATTGGACAATATAACTTAAAATTAAAAACTTCACTTAAATTTGCCTCTGCTTTTGTCGGAAAAAACAGAGCTTATTAAATTTTACTTATTTTTTCCCGGAAAAAAAAATATATATTGAAATTTACCCATATATGACATTATATTCCTATTTGCCACTGTCTTATCTGTGGAATTCTGCTCCGAGACAGTCAGTCATCTGTGATCGAGACGAACGGATAAAAACGGTGATCATTTCAGACCGTAAGCCTTCATAATAAACTCTAATGAAAATGTATTAGGTTGGTGCATATGAAATGTCGGATTCTTAAGTGATTGTATAAAACTGTATATCTTTCTTCAAAAGCTGTTTATTCAATCAAAGTATGCTCCATTCGCTTCAATACACTTCTCCCAACGAGATTTTAAAGCGTAGATGCCTGTCTTAAAAAAATTTTGGTCTTTAGAATTAATAAACTCTGATATCGAGTTTTTTAGACTGTCTTCATTTTCATGGTGTTTGCCTCTTAAAAACAGCTCTAAATGCTTGAAAAAATGAAAATCGGTCGGCGAGAGATCCGGTGAATATGGTGGATGCTGCAAAACTTCATATTCCAGTTCGTTCAGTTTCGCAATTGTTTTGTGCGATGTGTGCGGCCGAGCGTTGTCATGGAGCAGTAGCGGGCCATGCCGATTCACAAGCGATGGGAGTACAATTTGGTGTCTCAATATCGTTGTATGGTCAACTTTCATCCTGATAGCAAGTTCCCTCGTGGATACGGCTGGATCCGCTTCCACTAGAGCCTTCAGGTCATCATTATTCACAGACGTTTTGGGTCTTCCGCGCGGCTCATTTTGCAGTGAAAAATCGCCAGTCCGAAATTTTTCGAACCAACGCTGCACTTTCCGATTGTTAACCGTATTCTCCCCAAACGCTTGGTTTATGTTGCGTGCAGCTTTTGCAGCACTATTACCAAGTTTGTACTCATATAAGAAAATGACGCGAATGTCGGCAGAATTCATATCGGTAATAAACTCAAAAGAAATAAAAAAGGGAAGACCTTCGAGAAAACCTATTTTGTTGAAATGAGTCTCTGGCAATGGACAATACGAGTATGAATGAGGTTATGCCAAATACAAAAGTATAACGAAAACAGGGAGGAAAACGTCCGCATGTAAAGAGAATGCGACATTTCATACGCACCAACCTAATATATTATACACTGAAAAAAAAATTGTGCTAAGGTAAAAATGCAAATACCTGGACACGTGGATTAACTCCGGACGTTCTTATTATTTTGGTTTTTGAGTGTGAATATTAAAGACTCCAGAACAATCACCGTGACTATCTTTGTTTTTGACTATCTTTGTTGACGTCAGAAACGAGAAAACGTGTCAAAGTTATTTGCATTATACTTTTAAATAAAAAGATACGTCCGTAAATTGACATTTGTAATCGATTCAGCACACTTGTAAAATTAGACGGATATTTTTGCTCGGACAATTAATAGTCATAAAATTAACGTAACAGAAATCATAATAAAAAATAGATTAAAAACGTAAGTTGCATTTTACACTAATTTGCGGCTATCTGCGAATTGTTCAGGTTAAAGGAAAGCATCCGGACATTTTCAGAAATATGCCGAATTGATCACGAGTATTACTGATAAGACTGTATTCCTTTACTTTCACATAAATTGTCATAATGTATGTAAAAAAAAAATATAACTTTCCTCGCTTCTAGTTATCAAAGAAGGATAATTATAGCGAATATTCAGGAGGCTTATCAATGTTGTTATCAATGCATGCTTAGGACGAAAGAGATAGCCGATTTATCTATGCAGAATATGTGGTGCAAACAAAGAGTTATTGAGTTATAAATTGAAACAGTCTTATCAGTTACACGATACAACTTTGAATTACCATTACGCCTTATTCGCAGAATTCTGTTTCAAGACAGTCAGTAGTTATTTGTCGACGATCACGAACGGGTGAAGACAGCGAGTCCGGTGAATTTTGAAGCACGGTAAGCTTCGTCAGTTTTTAACGAATCTCGTCGGCTCTCTAAATTTTTATGACGCTGCAAACAAATCATCGCACCGATGTTATCAATATCGCCGTGGATATATTTGGTTTTAATGCGTTTCGTATGATGTGGCCGATAAGAGAACTTGTTTTTGAATAATTCTTGAAAAATAAGTTCTCTTATGAAATGTTGGTTACATTTCCAGCCACATCAGGAAGAAAAGTGTTCAAATCGTGTTGAAGCTACACGCGTAACCGATAAACCTGTATGCGGGAATATTCTGTGAGCACTAGAAATCGGAGAAAGTAAACAGCGCATGACATTCAGACGTTTTGCAAAATTACAAGTCACCTGCCTCGAGAGAATTTCTTGTTGATTAATTTAACGCGCTTTCTGCGGTAAAACCATGTTACTCTTCGAGTACAGAGCAGAGTCATCGCGATTATCGTTCAGTAGCTGCATCGTTTTTGTAATTAATTTAAAAATACTCATTGTATCTCGCGTATTATCGCATGCACGCTCTGACTTTTACTCTTCCCGCGCGCAAGCGAATATATTATGCAATAATAATAATAATATCACACAAATATTATGCAATAATAATAATATCACACAACTGAAACTAATCTTGACGGTGCTATAAACGCATAGATACTATCACACTATCCGTTATCACGCAACAAATATCGCTTTATCGTTAGATAACCGTGTTAGGCTAGTTTTTGAAATCATTTATATCGATCGTGTTGAAATTATGAGTTAAAAATACGAGCACTCTACATATTTATGCAGATCTTTTCGCTATAACAGCGTTGCCATCCAGTCACCGGAATAATTAAGTGAAACAGCAACTAGATTCTGGGCGGAAAGGTGACAGTGATTTTTCAGATGTCAAAATAGTGACAAAAAGTGACATTTTTTGTAAAATTCTGAAAACAGCTAGCGCCACTCGAGCAGAAACGCAACGCTTACTCACACCTTCCTCAGTTTATCTATATATATATATATGGAAAGAGAGAGAGAATTCTTTTTATAGAACGGTTTGAAAGTTCATACAAGGAATGACCAAGGACACGGACAATACACAAGTTCGCTTTCGGAGTTTTATTAAAAGAGGCGGCAAAAATATATATAGAATATATTTTATAAGTATAACGGCAGTTCAGAAAAAAAAGTGACTACAGTGGCCCGTTTTGGACGATAGTAAGTTTTTTATTGATTTATCAAAAAAAAAGGTGATTTCAGCGACTGGATGGCAGCGTTGCTGGAATTTATTTTCGCTAAACGAAAATTCACGACGAAACGTCGTCACTTTCGTTACATTATAGTTGCAAAATATCCTAGTTGCGAAATCCACTCGATCATGCAACCGGTCATTGGTCTTTATTGACTTTAATCTTCCCGTGAATTGTCCATCAAAAAACCTTGATCGGTTCAGGTTTAGCCCTTCCTCTAATTCGACAAGATAATCCGAAGAAGATGGCAGCGTACGTGTGTGTCGAAGACTACGAGAGATACGCTCTGAAGCATCTACCTCCTTTTGTGAGGGATTACTACAAAAGCGGCGCGGGGTCGGAGTACAGTGTAAAATTGAACAAGGAGGCATTCAACAAGTGAATTTACGGAATTGTAGCGAATTTCCTCTCGAAAGAAAGTAACGTGGAACGTTCGATTTCGATTGATATCAAGTATATCTGAACGTAATGGCGTTATGCACGTTCTTTCCGAACGTTTTTGTTGCAAAAATACAGTTGTTCACAGTCCGTCTGGTTAGAGTTGTAATCATGAGCGTAGTCGAGAGAAGGGGGAGGGGGATAGGAAATGTTTGCCCACACCCAAGTTTTGGCAAAGGAGAAACGATTTAATTATGAAAATGATAAAAGTAAAGAAATGTAACTGATACATTACAATTTACATTCTAAAACAAAAACGCTACGGTATATATTCGGTAATAAATTATTGCCTCCTCCCCTTCCTGACTGAAATCCTGGCTAGCTCGTGACTACAATTGCGGAAAATTCAAGTTGAAATATTCGATGGTCCTAGAAAATGTTTTACGTACTTTCGGGGAAGTTCGTACACAGGTCTTGTCGCAATTTATCTTACAACGATCACCGATGCGATTATTAAAAATTCTTAATTATGTTCTCGCAGATATAGAATACGTCCCAGATTTTTGCGGGACGTGTCCGAAAGGGACATAAGCACGACGGTGTTGGGTCAGAAAGTTTCGATGCCCCTGGGAGTCGCACCCACCGCGATGCAACGCATGGCTCACCCCCATGGAGAATGCGCTAACGCAAGGGGTAAGTCAACATTTTGTTTTAAAGCTCCTGTGTGTGTGTGTGTATCCTCGTCGAGGCTATCTTATTTGTAACGTCAGAAGCGAGAAACATACGTCAATAAAAAGATATGCCCGCAAAACGACACTTGTGATCGATTCGACACGTTTGAAATACTTGGAACACTTTTCTTCCGCTCGAATAATCAATAAATAAATAGAAAATAATCAATAAATAGTTGTAAAATTAACGTGACAAAATCACGAGAAAAGATAGATTAAAAAGAAAAGTTGCATGTTGTTAATTTTACGATTATTCATTGATTGTTAGAACAGAAGGAAAGTTTTCAGAATATTTTGCAAGTGTGCTGAATTAATCACAAGCATCATATTGTGAGTATATCTTTTTATTTGAACGTGTATCGCGAGAATTCTGTGCACGTGTTTTCTCGCTTCTGACGTCACCAAGCAAGACGGCAGGCCTCGAGTATTCCTTAAATATTGTGCCGCGAAGGATCGATGTGACGTGAGGTGGGGAGCGGTTGTTGGTCGACTGCGACGTTTCGTCGCGTAAAATTCACCACCAGGGGTTCGGGGCTGGCGTTTATTTGAGAACATAAGGTGGGAGGGTTCAATACAAACTTTTATTAAATCATACATAAATAGTCGTTACAAAAATAGTCGTAATAATCAAAGATTAGCCCCGACACCGACGATCACAGACAGTTTAACAATTCCTTTCCGCTTGCCGTTCCGTATTTATTAAAGATCCGCGCTTGAACGTAAACGAAAACACCGACAGAGATGTAACGAATCGATATTTCAAATTGATCTTGTTGTCTAAATTCATTTCAACGGGTCTCCCGCGCTCGATTTCAATCGGACATAAATACCCCGTAGAATAATCCGCGATAAGAAGCAATCGCGCGAAAGTGATCGTTCATTTGAGTATTTCCTCGGATAATCCATATCCATTTCTTCGATATCCGATCAAAAGAAGTATGTATTGAACGATACCAAGGCGAATCATATACGTTATCTATTTCCTAACATGCTTATTGTGTGACAATACATCCCTCTTGTCGAAAAAGATACATCTACGCAGAAGAAAAGGTTCATGTGGATGTAGTTTTTCTTTTAGTATTACTTAAAGAAAATATTTTGTTTTCAGTAAAAAAAAAATTCATTTCATCGCATATTAAATATTGTTTCACCGAAACGAAAAGAAGTTCTTCAATATGTTTCTAACATAATGTTACTTCTCCCCAATATTGTATCCCTGTGACAACCATTGCGATGTTTGGATGAAAATATAAGAGAAATGTGTTTGAGGAACCAAACAATCCCGTTTGTTGAAACGAACATTCGGGTCGTTCTATTCCAAATATGTTTCGGTTAAAGAAATTCTGTTAAATTCAAAGAAATCCTTTTCTCGCGTGCTTCAAGTTATCCTGCAATCTGTTGACAACACGTACAAATTGGAGGATCACCTCCGTTTTGAAAGTAATCCGCTCGTAATATTTGTTTATACGATTAAACAATTAATCATTTATGTTACTGATGTAGACTTATGTAGACTAATAATAATGGAATGAATCGTTATAAGTATTATATAAATCGCATTCGCGATCTCTCGGCGGAGCGGTCTGAGATACACCGCTCGTCTTACCGCGACTTACACTATAGTACAAATGAAACGTCAGTCCTGTTTAATAAGCGATATTAAAAGGACATAGGACAGCGGCTGTCGTAACATTAATTTGAGCGAAGGGGCGAACTTATATACGTTAAAATCGTTACGATTCACACGTCGTACTTACTAAGTGTAGCTATATAATGTAAGGCACGATAGAGCGCTTATGCGATATGTGTCGAGTCATATTGGTCGCGATACGAAGACGCTCGCTATCCCAGAGTCCAGTCCAACGATCTTGCCGAGGAACGAAAATTTCGCCCTACGCTACGTGCTGAAAATGATTCGACGCTCTCGCGATCGATTCTACCTCTCTCTCGTGATCGATCGCTGAGATACCGGGTGCGGTGTGTCGGTTGCTCAAATCGAGAATTTGCGATGACTAGTTACCAGGAATATACATGTATAAATGGATCGCTCGTGGGGTTTCCATACAAGTGGGAGCCCCAACGCGAGGAGTCTATTGGCGAAACTTTATGGCAGTGTGAGGGAAGAGATTCTCTCTCTCTCTCTCTTTCACTTGAGCTTGGGTCCTATGTTCTCCCAATTGTTGATGGCCTTCATGCTGACCTGCTCTATCCGCCACTTCTGCGTGGCCGACGACTTGTCGCAGGCGGTCGCGTAGACCCTCTTGCTGGCCGGGTCGGCGTCCAAGCAGCGGGACGAGTAACCGTGCATCAGCCACTGCTTCTCGACATCGTAACGCCACAACTGATTGCCCTGCTTCCCGTGGCAGGGATACAGGCTGACCGGCGCTTTCTCCTCGCCCCTCGACACGTCCAGGCAATCCGTGCGGTCCTTCGGCCTGATGTCCTTGTGCCAGGTCAGCCGGAACTCCTGCTCCCCGGACACCCTCGGGTTGTCCTTCATGCAGGTGTCCACTACGACGAGCTCGTCCCTCTTCCGCTTCTTCGAGTCCAGGCAGAGGTCGGTCGCTCCCATGTTCCGGATCTCGCCCGAGGCGAAGTCGTCCGGCTCGATCGGCGGGTAAACCTCCACGAGATCGAAGGCTATGTTCTTGATGAACCAGTTGAACGGTTTGCAGTGTAACTTCGCCCGCAGGGCCTTCTGCTCCGACAGATCTCCGGGATCCAGGGCGCGCATGTGCGGCCGCCTCTTGTAGATGTACTCCGCGTATTCGTCCATCCATACCTCGGCGACCCTCTTGTAATTCTTGCCGAGGAAGTCACCGCGACCCGGGTTGGGGAATGGCGGGAACTTCCGGTAGATGTGGCCGACTCGGGAGCAGGGCGCGTCGTACATGTGCCCGCCGCACTGCCAGATCTTGAAGGAGAGTTCGTATTGCTCGCCGCCCCAAATGTCCAGGCCCGGGTCGTAGCCGCCGAGCTCCCAGAAGAACTTGGTGCTGATGGCGAACAGACCGCCGGCCATGATCGGGCTTTTGAAGGGTTCAGCGGGTCTCTTCAGGTCCTCTGGCAACAGCGGCAACCGCTTGTAGTACAATTCCCAGTCGAAGGCGCCACGAGCGCCCTCGTCCTGAGCTCTGTACTCGAAGGTCTCGTAAGCTATCACGTCGATGAACGGGCAGACGCAGGTCTTGGAGTCCTGCGCGATCGGCTCCAACAGCGGCGGCAGCCAGTTCACGTTGGCTTCACTGTGCGAGTCCAGGAACACCAACACCTTCGCTCGGGCTTTCTTCGCGCCCGCCAGCCGACCCCTGATCAATCCCGAGCGTCTCGGTAACCGTACGATCGTTACCTTCGGCAAGTTCCTGTCGACGTAGTCGTCCAGCTTCTTCTTCAGCTCCACCTTCGTGCTGGCATCGTCCACCAGTATGATCTCTTCCAGGAGAGAGGGCGGCGAGCGGTTGATCACGCTCCAGCAAGTCCGCAGCAGCGTGCTGAAGTGCTCGTTGTGGAAGGACACTATCACAGAGACCGGGTCTAGGTTCTTCAGGTATTTCTTCTTCCTACAGTCCGGATGGCGAATGTCAGGCACCGATCGATTCACGGAGATCTCGTCGCTGAGAGCTGCGTTGAATCCGTTTACTTGGTACAGTTTCTCCTTCAGCGCGTCGAGCGACGGGGAAAGGAAGGCTGGCCTCCCGTGTTCTCCCATTCCGCTTCGCTTGTTCTCCGCTTCGATCTTCTTGTAGTCATGCCAGTCGATTTTGTCATCCAGATCCTAGGAAATATATATTCGAATTAGCAACGAGAAATAGTTTCGTGAATCTTTCGTTCGGCATCTCCGTTCTTTATTCATATAACTATACTTACAGACCCAACATCCTAAACTCACTTTTATCGATAAAAGTGTCTAGAAGATTTTGAGACAAATGATACTAATATGTGCAACGCATAATTTTTTATTCCCTTTTCACCAAAATTGCGGCTATTTTTTTAAAACAAACAAAAGTGCTGAGACTATAAATAATTTTGCTACAACGACAAACAAGATCCGTGCGATCGCGAGAGAAGACCCAAATCGTTCGGGCGCGCGGTCGCTCTCGTACGCTCCTGAACGCCGGAGGAATGCGAGAGAGAGAGAGATAAAGAGAGGCCGGGATGCAACCGAGAACTCGTTTGTTAACCGCTGCATACGAAGAAAGTAGGTTTCCGAGAGGCACATGAAGGTCGATCGAAACGGCGCATCATAACCGGTACGTACGTGATAATACGCGACGCGTTCGGATTCCCCGAGAGTCGCGAGAACGACCGATTGATGTAAGGCCCTCCTCCTCGCGCGTTTCCACACCGCAGGAAATTGCATCTAGGCGAAATTGAAACCAGTTCCGACACTCTCGCTCATGACCGGTGCGAGGAAATTGAAATCAACGTTATCGCCGATTTCCACTCTCCGTTGACGCGGACGTAGACGGACAATCGAGGGATATCACAGGTATTCTCTCTCTCTCTCTCTCTCTCTTTCTTTCTTTCTTTCGGATCCCGCTTGGTAAATACCTGATTCGGACGCTCGTCGTTCTCCCGGTGGCCGTCGCCGGGGCTGCGGGGGCCGACGGCGACCGCCGCGATCAGTGTGTCGAGCGGCGTCGAGAGCTGACGGTTAGACGGCGCCCGCATGTAACGGAACACGACGACGGTGAGGAACACCGTGAACGCCGCCAGGAAGGAGAACTTGATCAGACTGATCACGTTTCGCCTCATCTTCGCGGGAGAGTCATGACGGGGTGTGCGCGCTCGTTCTCTCTCTCTCTCTCTCTCTCTCTCACGAGGACGACTTAACCTCACTTCGCGCTTTAACCCCTTCCGCGCACGGTGACAAGCACACGGCGTGATAACGGTGTGACAACGTCATTTGTCGTTGATCACACCGACCGATTTTTCTCAGCGAGCGAACCGCTGATTTCCGCTTATCACGCGTCGTGATAATTGCTACCGGCGGGGCACGATATGCACGCACGAAAGGGAGAGCGTAGACGACGTGCGGCGACACGCACAAACGACACGCGCAACTGTCACGCGACGACTGAGACGAAACGAGCCGGAGAGAGAGGAATCCTTTCAGCAGCAGCGCCAGCAGCGGAGAACTCGTTCCTCTCTCTCTCTCTCTCTCTCTGTCGTCTCGCGCTTCTAACTTGGCGCGATCTCACTTGCGTTTTTGCACCTGTGCGAACCTTAACGGTTCCGCTCGGTCGACATCAATCGCGATGTAATGAGCGTGCTGAATAAGGCTGGAAATAATAAGACAGGGCAATACGACCGAGGAATTCGAGGGAAACATCGATCATGTCGGAGCATGTTCGTTAGTCCAGGGTTCATTTGTCATGGAAAGGACGGTGTTTTTTTGCGAGAAAAATATTCTGAAGTGACCGTTGCCGCACCAACAGCTCAATTTGCCGCCTTGTTCATCGTTTTTGCTGCGGCGTAATCCGCAATCCTCAAGTTTATCTTGTTTGATGCAAGCTCAATGGAAAATACGTTTACGACTAAACGCTCATGATAAAGATAGAGTACGAGGAGGAAGTGCACTTGTTTCTTGTATCTGTTATATATCCGTGTTTCAGCGAGAAACCTTCTACAGGTGTTACGAATAATATATGCGTGTAGCAATGACAGGTTGATCGTTACGTATGTTGCATGCAGCTTGTGTAACGTAACCGTCGTGTGCAGATAAAACCGGTTAGAAACCCGAGTCTAAAATTAGCACGAATATTAATGTAATAATACGATCGATTCTGTGAATTTAATCGTTCAGAATAATTGAAGCGAAATGAAAGAATTGCTGCGGAATAAAATCGGTGAAATTAGTCGACTCGATTCTTGCAAATCGGACGCGGGCGAATTTCCAATCAATTTAACGGCATCGATCAACCCGGATAGCCGTTCGACATTTAACCTAGACACTATTAGACTATTCGCTCTATTCCAGCTAATTTAGCAATGATTACGTCGTCTTTTCGCATGACGTCTTGAGCGGACAATTATTTCCGCTTTGTCAATTTGCAGCCGCTCAGGCAGCAGGAACGATCTTTATACTGTCGACGATATCGACGAGCAGCATAGAAGAAGTGGCGAAAGCGGCGCCGACTGGCATCAAATGGTTCCAGCTTTACGTTTATCGCGACAGGAACGTTACGTTAAATTTAATCAAGCGCGCCGAACGTTCCGGGTTCAAAGCATTAGTTCTCACCGTCGACGCGCCTCTGTTTGGTGACAGACGCGCCGATGTAAGAAATAACTTCATGTTGCCGAGCCATCTGAGGTATTTCAAATGTTTACAAGTAACTAGCGAGACTATCCTAATAACACAAATTCATTAGCGATACATTCGTCCAATGTTGGTTATATCAGCATTCATTAGACGAATATTGACCAATATAAAATCAGCCGGACAGCCAAACTTGCAAAAGCAGATTTTGCGCGCAATATCTGTTATAAATTTTGTCGACAGCTTCCTAACAGGAATATAACTGGATTTGCTAGCAAAGCATAATAACACACGGAGAAAACAAATTTTGCTGGAACAACAAATGTTTGCCAATATAGTGACAGAAAAAAGAGATTTGGTTAGACAGCAAAAAATTTGCTATCGTGCCCTGTTGGCGAATCCTATTATATTCCTGTTAGCAAACTGTCGATAAATTTTATAACAGATACTACTCGAAATCTGCTTTTCCAAATTTCGCTGATTTACATATTGGGCGATAACATTCACACAATTCGTCCAATAAATGTCAATATAATTAATATTGGACCAATGTATGGAAACTATGAATTGTGTTGCTAGAGTAATAGAATTTCGTAGGTTAAGATTTTAATCACCTATCCCTGGAACTAAGTGACACTTATAGATAATATATTATGTATATATACTCCGTTTCAGATATGCAAATTTCGAAGGTGACTTGTCGCAACGGATAACTTCCGTCGTGAAGAGCGACTCAAACCTTAACGAATATGTCACCGAGCTGTTCGACTCTTCCCTCACTTGGGAAGATATAACATGGTTGAAAAGGTATTCACGCTGATATCGCCGTACGCTTTTCTTATCTGGGCAGCGCCGGATCTATTATCGCGGTTTATTTCATCGAGCAAATCGATATGATCAAGGTTGATTTGTTGCAGTATCACAAAGCTGCCGATAATTCTCAAGGGAATTCTGACGATAGAAGATGCACGTTTGGCCGTGGAAAACGGGGCTAACGGTATTATCGTGTCAAATCATGGTGCACGCCAGATAGACACTGTCCCAGCCACGGTCGGTCCCGTTCTTGTGCTTAAAACAATTTAGGAATTACATTGAACAGCATCGAATATCGTTAGAAATAAATAATTCAATATTCAGGGGTGCATCAGTAAGCGAAATATTGAGGCCAACATTTGCATTTGCAGATTGAAGCTTTGCCAGAAATCAGTAGAGGAGTGGGGGACAAGATCGAAGTCTACATGGACGGAGGGGTGACGCAGGGTATCGACGTGTTTAAAGCCTTGGCACTTGGTGCAAAAATGGTAAGAATGCATTGAGCGACTTGCGAAAATATTCAGATCATATCGTGCATGCGTGTACTTTGTTGTGTTCGTGTCTTCGTTCATCGACCAACTGTTTCTCAGGTATTCTTTGGCAGACCGATGCTGTGGGGTTTGACGTACGATGGCGAGAGAGGCGCCAACGAGGTTCTCAAACTTATGAGAAAAGAAATCGACTTGACTTTTGCATTGAGTGGCAAGTTACAGCGAATGTTAATTTTTCATATTGACCTGTATTATGAACTTTTTTTTTGTCGATAAGAATGGTCTTTAAAAGCAATTTAGGAAACTGGATTAATTGAGAAGTTATGTTTAAAGCACTTTTACCGATAAAAGAGACTTCAGGATACAGGCCATTAATTTCTTCCTTATCAGATTGTTGATCAGTAGTTTAATAAATGTCTTTTTTTTAGGTTGCGCATCTATAAAAGATGTTACACCAGATATGGTGGTTCACGAGTCGTTTTATTATCGTCTGTGAAAATATATTTTACTCGATGTAGAATTAACACAGTACTATTTATGTTAGTAACTATTATTAGCAACCCCTATGAATTTATGAACATTCATTTTTTTATTTTTACCTGAAATATAAACATCTACGTTCACACATGAACATTTATACACACGAACCATATACATATGACTATAAATAAAAAATAAGAGGAAACCTAAATCGAATTTCTTTCGATTATCCTAAAGATATATTAATAAGTGACTAATAAGTGATTAAGATGTATACAAATGGATTTCATCCACCTGTATATTTAAATATATACCCAAAAATAAAGAAAAGAAAAAGAAATACGCAATTATTCTTTATAAATGAATTGCTATTCCAGAAAAGTTTTAGTTATTGTATTTATGTTAGAGTTATAGTAATTTTAATTATAAATTTAATTATAAATATGGGTGGGTCGATATTAAGTTGTAGAATATATCACAGTTTTACTGTGAAATCTCGAGTATGAGTGCGTGTGTGTTTTTTTTTTGCAAATGTTGGTAATACTATTTATGTTATGTTATTTAGGACGAGTGAGTGAATGCATGAATGTCGGTTGGTACGAGCTGAGCAGCAACGGCTATCGCGAGCGAAAACCGCGAAATTTTTTACTGGATCGTTGGGTGGACGCGTACGTATTATGAGGGAGGGGTGAGTTGCGGGAAATACTCCTACAACCCGCGGGTACATGCATGTTCTTTGGCGTTGCGATCGCGCACCATACCATGGGAGAAAGAGTATCTCGTGTTTTTTCGAGATATTCGGACGTAAGGAGGGTCGAATTCGGGCTAACGTGGACTGACATCACGCGGAGGATGGGGGAATTTGTTGGTATGGGGATTCACATCACGAAGGGGAGTGACGTCATGCGCGCGGGGACCGATGTTAGGTACTGTGTTACCGACAGTATGTCTGTATTGTTGTATTACCATCGTTACCCTCCTCCAGCGATCGATATTTCTCCATCAGTCGGTAAATGGATACCACCGGCGGCCCACGTTCGATCGCCCATGGCGGTCCGCCCTTCACCCGCGATCTTTTCCGCGTTATCTTTTACGTTAAATCCGATTGTATTAAATTAAGTTACACGAATTACATTTTTTTACTTTAATCTTCACCTTGTATTTGCATTATTCCAATAATACTGGTTTATAAAAGTTTGTTTAATGTTAACCCATATATCTCATTGTTTAACTTTAGCTGACCCTTTCATCATTTAAATATTGTATCTTTTACAACGATTTTTCTCATCAATTTATTACTATTATTCATACGTGTGAGAAACAAATTATGTTATTAGTATAATTAATAAACTGTTTTATTCAAAATGCTCCGAATTTCACCAAGTTGTTAAAATTATTCATTCATTTCCTTTCAATTACTTAAATCTAAATTCCCCTCTCAACACTCTCATATGGTCCTATTCCAGGTAAAGAGATTAAGTTCTTTGACCTAAAGAGCCTCTGAGCTGTTCGTAGCCATAATTGAAAAGAAGAAGATGGCGTTGGAGTAGGAGACAGGCGTTAGAGTAATTCATAGACCCAACTGAGAAGAAGAAGAAGAAGAGAAGGAGAAGAAGATTGTGGAGGTCATGCATTTTGACAGTTTGTTATGGCTTCTGCTTGCAGGACGTGGTAACGTTTTCCACGTAGCAGAAGTTCGCGCGGTAGCTAATAAACTTCTAGTTCTTACCGAAAAACGACATGTTGATTGGCTACCGCGTCAACTTCCGCCGCGCGGCAAGCGTTGCCGTCTCCTGTGGACATAAGCCATTAAAAACAACCGACGCGATAGTCGACTTATCGAATCGCGACAATTGTGATACGTTGGATTTCTGCTTGCTCCGTAGAAAGTAATTAGTCAGCTTCTACACAAGAACTAAAAAATGAGAAGAAATATATGTGTAACAAGAACGATAAACATATAATGTGTTATGTGAATCAATCTATATTACACCATTATTTAATAATAAGTACCGATTCGAAAAAATTAACATTAATTATCGGTTTTTGATTCGTGCAATCTTTGAAGAAATTGTCCCTTCGTTAACGTGAGCTGCCCGAAGAATGTATTCGATATGGACAAAGACAGTTTTACCATTTTACCGAGCCGCTGCCAAAACTCAAAGTCACCTATTAGCCTGTTATCGTGAGCTCGCTCAAGAAGTTGCTGTAGAATCAGTACGATCTGACAAAATCAAACTTTATCTATTTAAAAAAAAAAAACCCCAAACAACATCCTTGTCAGAATGAAAACTTTAATAACATTTTTTTGAAGAAATATTTTTTTTTAAGAAACATTTAAATATCTTATAAATTATGTCCACAAGCCATCTTATAATCATCATCATATCAGAAGTATCTACTAAGGGAACTTTTTAAGGTATCTCATTTAAGGGTTTTTGAAAATGTTATCTTTATAATATCATGCCAAATCATATCAGTTTGAATTTTCATGAAATGTATTATTATGTTATATAATTTCTAAGCCATCATTATACACATGCACTGAAACATTATTTGCTGTGAAATGTTCAGAAACCATATAATATGAGAAATCTGTATGCTTTCTTTTAAGAAAACTATTATGTATACTTATATCAGGAACATGACATTCACTAAAAACTATTCTATAACATTCACTAAAGCCCATGGCTACATAAGTAAAATTTGCAAAAAAGAATAATTTAAAATAAGACCAGACTCTAAGAAACTATTTCTGACATAAAAACCACATTACAAAAATCAATTTTATAGCAAATTTTTATGAAAAATTTATTAAATATTGATTGTAGTCAAAACTGATTATGTCAATTAATTCTATGGAAAAAGAATCAAAAACGAATCATGTGTAATATTTTCTCATATTGCGCGTTTTCCATTTATGCGAAATGAAAAATAATAAATATCATAATTTATCGAAACTCGTTCTTGTCCATGGCTACATCAACAAGAAAAAAGTAATTGGAAATAGGATCGAAGCATGAGAAACCGTCTTTGGTATAAAAAGCGCATTATAAAAATCAATTTTA